ATATAATTAAGTATAAAAGATGGTGAATTAACCCATTAATTAATTCAAGGTTATGTCTTTTAACCCTCAAGTAGTTAAATTATTAACATTAACCCACTAAATTTATAATTATAGCAGGAATAGTTCAAAACGCCCCTTAAAACATTTAAAGAAATCCGACCACGCTTGGGATTACGCAGCCTGTGACGGGCCGTCGTGCCTGCGACGGTCCGTCCTGCTGCTCCGTCACTGAGTTCAGAAACTCCATTCCATTCAAGGGTCTGTGACGGTCCGTCGTGCCCACGACGGTCGGTCCTACCTACGACGGTCCGTCCTGCCATTCCGTTACGAAGTTCAGAGAGTCGATTTCAGTACCTAATTTTCAGAATTCTAAGTATTTTGGAACGAGACACCCTCGACGGTCCGTCGTGCCCATGACGGTCCGTCATGGGTTCCGTCGTCTCAGCCAGTTTTTCCAGAAATAAAATCTGCTGCTCAAAACGACTAAACAGGTCGTTACACATTTTTTTAACCTTAAAATTGAAATTTGAAGCATTTAAAGATCTTTCATTTTTTTCCTGTAATAGTTAGTACTATTCGTTCACATTAACAAAGTAGATTAGGGTTTCTTTTTCAAGATTTAGGATTCGATAGCTTCATCATGCTTATTTTATCACAATTATATAATCACAACATGCAAACACACAATTAAGCATATAGAAGGGTTTACAACACTACCCAATACATATCATTCGCTATTAAGAGTTTACTACGAATAGTGTAAAAACCATAACCTACCTCCACCGAAGATTCGTGATCAAGCAAGCAATTTCCCCAAAGCTTTGTTATCCTCTTCGTTTCTCTCTCTCTTGATCGATTCTCCCTCTCTTGTTCTTTCTATTTTTCTTATTCAAACCCTCTTTCTTTTACCCTTAATAACATATAATTAAGTATAAAAGATGACAAAATAACCCACTAATTAATTCAAGGTTATCTCCTTTAACCCTCAAGAAATTGGATTATTAATATTCACCCAATAAATTTATAATTATAGCAGGAATAGTCCAAAACGCCCCCTTAAAACATTTAAAGAAATCCGACTCAGCCTGGGATTATGCAGTCTGTGACGGGCCGTCGTGCCTGCGACGGTCCGTCCTGCTGCATCCGTCACAGAGTTCAGAGACTAGATTTTTACCAAGGGTCTGTGACGGTCCGTCTTGCCATTCCGTCATGAAGTTCAGAGAGTCGATATAAGTACCCAAATTTCAGAATTCTAAGTGTTTTGGAACGAGACCCCCTCGACGGTCCGTCGTGCCCATGACGGTCCGTCGTGGGATCCGTCGTCTCAGCCAGTTTTTCCAGAAATAAAATCTGCTGCTCAAAACGACTATACAGGTCGTTACATAAAATTTCAAAGAAATCCCTTTCTCATTCGATTGGATCAACTTTTTTATTTTTTTAATGTTTTTATCTAACTATATACTAATAATTTTTACTTTTTAGTCGCTCACTTTATTATACAAATTAAAATTGTTATTTTACTTTCATATAGAAACTACAAATTATATCCTAGTGGTTAAAATAGTATTACATGACATGATTGTTAAATATGTTTTTTTTTATTTGTATTTTAAAAATATTATTGATTGTATCTCAATATAGTTCAATTATTATATATGAATATGATTTATAAAAAGTTACAAGATTTTGAAAAAGAAATAATACACATAGTGAAATAATAAAATCTGTTGAGGAACAATATAATACTCTAAAAGACAAAGACAAAATAATTATGAAAGAAATAAGGATGCATCTAGGAATATATATATATATATATAGTAAAAATAACACAATCTCTTGATGAAGAATACAATATTCTAAGAAAAATACAAATTGATTTTGAAAAAAAAATACATGTATGCTTAAAAAATATAAATTCATTGACATATCTATTTGAATGACTACAAACTAAAAAAAAATACAACATTCTTAATATTGACAAATATAATTAATATGAATACGATATAAATTCAATTTTGCAACCCTTTTCTTGAACTTTCTCTTTCTTCAATTTTTTCGTTTGTTATGTTTCTTTTTTTTTCAACTTTTTTTAACCAAACTCAAATTCTCGCTTGTGCATTAGTAACCTATAAACAGAATTTGAAATTATTAAATATAAATATATAAAAAAATCAAACAATATATGATGTATGAATACTAATGTAGATTACTACAATTTTCTAAATTTAAATTATGAAAAAAAAACAAATTAAGTATTTACAAGATCTGAAATACATAAAAGTGGGAGATCTCACAAAATATTTGGTGAATATGAAAACTAACTCACAAAAAAATTGAACAATATTGTTTAAAAGACGAAAAATTCAAATACAAAATACTTTATAAATATGAAAACAATATCACAAAATACTTGTTGACTTCGAATTTACCTTTATCAATTAGTGAAAAATCTTTTGAATCAATTGCGATTTCTTGAACAAAGTATAGGAAATTATAAGAGTTGATTTTCTTGAATAATGAAAGGAGATAACAATGGTGAAAATGAGAAAGAAAAAGAAATGAGTGATTTTGGGAAAAACTTAGAAAGATGACTAAGTGGGTAATGTTTTCTTTTTTTTTGTTTTTGTGGAATAAAATTTACAGAAATAATATACTTAAAGACCCTGTAGAAGTCCTCCATCCATATGTTACCGACCTGACCATCCATCTATCATTGGAATCAGAAGAAACTGGTCCGTCTCATCCCTTAAAAGTTTATAATTATAGATATTTGTTACACGGATGAAAAAATATAAACATTAATACATTAATCTGATGTGCGAAATACATTAGTTGTTGAGTAAGATATATTAAATTTATACATGATATACTAATTTAATGTAATTCTATACAAGATATACTTATTTGATACGTGAGATACACTAATTTAATATGCAAAAATAAGGGAGATTTTGGGGATTTGTAAAACTTATAGTGAATAATGAAAATAAGTAAACTAAAAGATGAGATTTCTGTAATTTTTTCATTAAAAAGGTGTCTAATTTGAGTTTGATTTGAGAAATAAAAGGAAAGAAAATTAATTATATGAGGATTCAATTTATTTCTAAAATATTGACATATTGACATTTCTTATAGTGACTATTTGAAAGTGTAGATATTTTTAATAATTATATTAGTGATCATGACTAATTTGCTAATTTTCGATAATTTTTTTAACTTTACAAATGAAACATTAAATCATCGTCTTATGTTTATAATAACTTATAAATTTCCAAATTAGTTTTAATAATTATATTAGTGATTGTGACTAATTAACTAATTTTCGATAACTTTTTTAACTTTACAAATGAAACATTAAATTATCGTCTTATATTTGTAATAATTTATAAATTTCCAAACCATAGTATAACGTCTTCTTATAATATTTTCAATTTACTTAAAAGAATTTTTAGACTGTGAAATGGTAGATTTATTAGTTACAACTTACAAGTAGAATAAAAATAGGTCATCTACCAACAGTGAAAAATGGTGGAAGCGTGTTGAAGTCATTTTGAGCGGTTTATAAGCTTAGTCGATTTTTGTAAAAACAAAAAAAAATTGTGTCTAATTTGATTTTAATTGATATTTTATACCGTCCAACTTCAAATGCCCATAAATAGACACTTGAACTTATATGAAATTAAATAAATAAACACGTATATTCTACATGATGTAGTACAAATCAGCTCCAAGTTAAAAGAGCATCAACTTTCTTCTATGTATTTTTCTTTTTAATCTCCATATCACCGAAAATTATCATCTTGAATCCAATTATGATAAAAATACATCGAATTGATCACTATTAATTCACGTGAGACTTTCCTCTCTAATTGTACTAAGGGAAAATTGTATATAACAGCAAACTAATAACCTAAAATAAATGGAATAGCTAGGATTTGATTTAATTGTGCTCCATAGCAAACGTTAGCTAAAATTTGCCAGCGTCTCTCTCCCAATAATCTCGCTCGTCACTCTTCATTCTTGCTCGCCTCTCTCGCTTTATACACAGAAGTGTATAATTCTGTTTATGTTTTGTATAAAGCGAGAGAAAATTGTATATACACATGCAAAAATGTATATCTTCGTGTTATACACTTAATCATACAATTTACAAACATTTTACTTCAAATATTGCAAAGAAACAGGCCAACGAATTATACAATTGCGAATTATACAATTGCAGTGAAATACAATTTTCTCTAGCTTTATACAACAGAAGTGTATACATTGTGTTTTCGTTTTTGTACAAAGCGAGAAAAACATATATCTTCTTGCTATACACTTATAATTATGCAATATACATACATTTTAATTAGATTCAACTGTATGCAAAGCAAATTATACAATTGCAGCGAAATAGGCCATCGAATTATACAATTTAGGCCAGCGAATTATACAATTGTATATGTATAGCGAATTATACAGTTTTATGTTTGCTATGGAGCGGAATTATGCAAACTTTGCTATAGCATACAAATATGAATTTTTTATTTGCTCTATGTGAAAGTTGCCCTTGTACTAATGTGAAATTAGATTTTAAGCCTAATTCACGTCTCAAAATCTAGCTGAAAAAAGAAGGATTGTCCAAATCTTATAAGAAATTTATATTTCTCATTAATTAACACCCCACATCACGCCCAGTGTTTAGCATCTGATGCATGGACAATTTTGATTTTAGCGACCCCAACATCGAATGAGTTAAACTCTGTTCTATTACTATGTGAAATTAAATTTCAAGTTTAACTTACATCCCAAAAACTAACTCACAATGAGAAAAATTCTCCAAGTGTTGTAAGGAGTTCGCCATCTCAGTAATCAGCGTTGTCCAAGCATGATAAAGGAGTTCACCGTCTCATTAATTAGAGATGAGAAACTTTTATTACTCTTTAACAAGTAATTAACTAATTATCATGAAATTTTATCCCTAGTCAAAACTCTATAATACTATTTTAATCACAAAATCGAAAATTAAATTTAGACTTTTCATTCAACTTCCTCATCTTCATGATATAATTATATAATTTTCATAGTCAGAAAATTAAATATAGAAAAATTTAAATAATTCCAAAAAAAAAAATTGGCTTTTGTTTTATCTTCCTCTCTTTAAAGCCTTTTCAGCGGTATCCATTTCTTCTAAGATTCTCACCTTTCTCTTCGCCGGAATCGGAGTAGTCGGCCCGAAACTAACATAATGGCCCGAAACAGCGTTGAGTGCCGAATATATATCACGAAACGAAGCCCGACCCAACAAAGCTTTCTCTCTTCTATACTTTGCAACCCAGTAATTCGACGCTTCTCTTAACTCAGCAACTGAATCAGCTATATTCGGATCTCCTTTATCCATATTCAACGTAGATCTCACTTTCTGTATCACTTCCGATGCTTCCTTCACGTATTCCTCGTCGGTAGCTGCGAATGCTGACGTGGCGGGAAGGAGAAGGGATGGAGATAGGATTCCGGCGGACAGAGAGAGGAATTCGCGGCGGCGGAGGGTGATGGTGGTGGTGGTTACGGAGGTGATGAGTTTTGATCGGATTGGGGTGATGAGGGATTTGGGGGTTGATGTAGATGGGGTAATTAGGGTTGGAGAAGCCATTGATTTGTGTTTTTTGAAAAGATTTGGGGAAAAAGAGAGTGTTGTAGTTTTGGTGATGAGAGGGATTAGTGCCACGTGTCTTATCATCTTATCAAGATATTATATAGTTTATGGATGAGAAAAAATATAGTTAGATTTTATTATGATATAATAGGAGTGACCTGGACATTTGATGAAGTTCTGGAAAAGTTGACACAATCTAGAATAAACTTTTAAATTAAATTATTTTCAACATAGATAACATATCTGATGTTGACACCTAATTTTGACCTAATATTTTAAAAATTTGTGATTTTGAAGCTTTATTTATTTAATAGCAAATTTTGGTCCGATGATTTTAAAATTCATACATTTTGAGTCAAATACAAAAAAAAAATTGACTTGCCCACATTGTCTCTCAAACAATTTTTGCAATTTTGCAATAGTCCCACATCGGTATTTCATCCTTTTTGAGTATTTTTGGGTTTCTATATAAGCCCACTTCATTCACTATTTTTAGGAAAGGATTTGGAGGGGAAAACAAAGAATACTCATAAAATTTTGAGAATTCTTGGTTCCCATAGTTCAAAAATTTTAAAGTATTTTTGTGGTTTTTCGAGTTGAAGAGGTGGAGTCGTCTCCTTCAAACTCGTAGTTCTGGTTCTCCCGCCCAGAACCACGTAAATTTTTTTTATTTTTAGCTTTGTTTAATTTAATTCTCAGCTTTTTTATGTTTTCTGTTTATTATATGTAGCTTGTTTTGTTTTTTAGTTTAATGATATTTGTGTTTATTGTAGTTTTAATATTAGCATTATTTTACGGTTTGATGTTTATTTATTTATTATTATTATTATTATTTTAAAATTGTTAATCAAGTATTTGTTATCTTAACTTTTCAGGGTTTTGTTATTATTCTATTTTAATGTTATTTTTAATTTTTATATATTACGTTATTGTTATTTCCATTAGTTTGATTGTTGTTTTTCATATTCTCTTGGGATAAGTTTGTTATGTTTGTTGATGTTCAGGTTATATTAAAAATATTTGTTAAAGGGCCGATGAAAAATCTATCCGTCGGGTTTAGAGGCCTCCCCATTTTAAAAAGACGGAATTTTAATTCAAGTTTATATATTTTATATGTTGAAGTTGGCCAATGAAAAAACTCTCCGTCAGTTTTGGAGGCCTTTCCATTTTAAAAGACGAAATTTTAATTTAATTTTACTTGTTAAATTGGCCGCTGAAGAAACGATTCCAAGGTTTCCCATGTTAATAAATCGTATTTTTATTTTTTAAGTTATTCATTTTTATTTATATTTATTTGGTACTAACTCTTCTACTAAGTGTTTACAGGTACCCGGAGGTGCTTCTCCTCGAATTATTAGAATGAAGTTCGAATCGTACTTTATTTCATTATCTTGTCCGATTATTATTATTATATTGACGTTAGGCAAATGTTAGGCCGATTATTATTTTGTTTTATTTTGAATATTGCATGTTTTTTATATCTGTACATTATTTTATATTCTTCCTCAATTTGAAAAAAAAATGAATTCAGTCGGAAACCACAATTGTGGATTCCGAAGGGTGCCTAACCCCTTCCCTTCGGAATAATTTAAACCCCTTACCTAGAATCGAATTGGTTTCGTAGATCATAATTGGTTTCCTAGTTTTCCTAAAATTAGGTGGCGACTCTTTTCAAAACTCGTTTATTTTTAGAACTTTGGTAAAATTGAACAATTAATTAATTTTCGAGTTGCCGCGACGTTTCGCCCTATTTCGACAGATAGAACAGTAAAAAGAATAAAAATTCAAATGTAGTAAGTTAACTACTTAAAATATATTATTAGTTTTATTAAGTCAAAATTTTTGAAAATTTGTTTCAACTGAGATTAGTGTGTATAATTAAAGAGATGACGCTTCTAATAGACACTTGAAAACAATGTGTAATGTTTTTTCAAGAATTTATAGCAAGTGTCTAATGTGATCATTTTATCATGTGTTAGATGATTAATTAAAATTCAATGGTGTACCCATCTTTTCCTTTGTCGAAAAATTATATTGTATTTACATATTAAATAAATATGTATGTAAGCGTTGACACTTGTTGACCAAGTTAAATATTTAGTTTGATGGTTAAAGTGTAGAGAAAATTTCTTAAACTCATGGTGTTCTAGTCATACTATTCACATAATAACATTTTTTTATTATAACTATTGACACCCCTTAATAAAAATTCTGACTCTGCTACTGTTAAAACCGATAGACGAATAGTGCATTGTTTTGTTATTTTTTTTTTACTAGTAATCATAGTAAATGAATAAGTTTGAGATGGGAGTGTCAAAATGAAGTTTGCCAAAGTCAGGTGGCTGTTTATGGGTCTGAACGAGCTAAATGGAGAAATAAGCCCAACGTGGATAACCAATCCACAAGCCCAAATACACAACGAAATTATACGGTCATCGACTATTTTTAATAGGGAAATTTTGTAAATAGTTATTATAATAAATTTAATTAGGCTCTTTAGATATAATTTGTATACTTATGGGTTATAGTCATGGTTTACTTGTTTGTATTATTTGCAGGTACGTTTATATAATTCGTGTGTATTTATATAATTGAGTTATTTTCGTCCGCAAAACTCAAAATAAAGAATTTATACAAACACAAACATCTGAACTTTAAATAGTTATATAAATTATATTATATAAATTTCGAAAATTACATGTTTATACAAACTTAAAAAAGATACGGAAGAGAAATTTGAATGTATATATGATAAAACTGAAAAACCAAAGGGAATCACTATCAAATACAAATACAAATCAAACAAATTATACAATCTCGAACTGCAACCTATATAATTAACACCAAATGTTAGTGGTGAATTCTAATTTAGCTAAACTATAGCTTTATTAACTAAATTAACTAATATATATCTATTTATTTGTGTACCCATTTTCAAAATATATATATATAAAAAGATCCCCATGGAGAAAGCCAACTCAGCTTCTCAGTGCGATGAGTAAGAATCTTAATAAACTATTTATGGATATCTTAGTATTCTCATCAGTATGACAGTATCATGAGTTCATAGTTTAGTAGTTTTATTCCAAAGTATATATATAGTGGGAAAAACCTCATAACTTACTTTATTTTAAAAAATATTGATAAAAAATTAATAGATCTTGAGAAGATTGTCGTCAGAGATCATATAAAAAAGGCGAGTGCCAAACACCTTCGCCCATTTACACGTTCAGGACTGAACATCTGAAGTATGGACAATATAAAAGGGGACCCCAACATTAGGCTGATTTTATGACTACGACTATGATAAAGAAAGAAATAGATCTTGAATTTAATTCATTTCAAAAACAAGCTCTCCTGAAGAGGATTACCTTAACCATCATCCGTAAAAGAAAAACTTTATATGTACGTACGTATTAGTATGATTGAAGATATGTGGAAGAGGGTAAATGTAGAATACAGACACAAGAGGTAGTTGACTTTAAACGTGATAAGTATGTTACAAAGTGAAAATGACATAAACCATGAATACAATTTGTAAATGATAACACAATATAATCTTGTATGTTACGCAATTTTAAATGAGAGCAAAGTTGTATACAATAAGTAGTCGATATTTTAGCAATCATCATGACCACACACATCATGGTCTTCCTTTACATGTCTCAAAAGCATTGAACTTATTCTGACTAGTCATTTTCTATAGGACATAAATTCTCCGATATTATATTTGTGATTCTTACAATTTTTTAATATTTTGTTTTGTTCGGTATCTGATATTTATTTTGAGGTTTTGATTCATTTAATCTCAGGTGTTGATAGGTTAGGCTTGTTTAAGTAGCTAGATAGTATTTTCTTTCATCATCAATCGATAGGTTAAGGGTTTGAGTCACGTTGAAGGGAACATAATTAAGTGGGAAAGGAAAGTGTTCCTTATTAGACTATTTTTCATTTACTAAACTCGAAAATGGGGTGCCTAATTAATTACTTTTGAAACTAAAGATTCTATTCATCTTATTAAAATCTTTGATCGCATGAAAATTCACGAATTATTTTGCACTAATCATAAATGATAATGAAATTTGTCTTCTTCTTCCTTTTTTTTTAATACAAATTTCTAATTTCTATCACTCAATTTACGTAACAATAAGTGATATGACGTATTACTTATTTCTAAAATAGTGAGGGTAAAAAAAGAAGCAACAAATTCTAAACAAAGTGAGACACTCTAAACATAATTAAAGCACTCAATAAAAGAAAAAAAAAGTCAAATTCGTGTTTAATCCATAACTTAACGTATTTTATTTATATAATATTGGCTCCCATAGTAGATTATTTAAAGTTTGGATATACACTATGTGCAAATTGGTGGGTTGAGGATAGCAAATGAATTTTTGGGATATCTATATGGATTGTGGAGTTGTAGTACTCAAATAAAGTGAAAAGCATGGATCAAATAGGTCCCCAAAAACTTTCACAACGTGTTGAGTATATTGGTATCATTATTATATTTTAATTTGAAAATTCATTGTTATTATGATATGCACGCATTAGTAAATTCTCTCTTCATATGCAATAATTGACAAATCAAAACAGAAAATATAAATTGTATTAAATAAGTTTCATATAACAAGCTCGATTGAAAAGACGTTGAATAGGATGTAAATCACACTCATTGTATATTGGCATTATTTCATGGTTTTGTGTTGAATCAACTTTGTGTAGCATGAAAATATCTTGCCCTTTTTGAGTAGTGAATTTAGGTGAATTAGTAATAATTTACGCACATTATTTATTTTCTCTTATATCCCAGACATTGCATATTGAAGTATTTTGTATTTGGAGTCAACATTAAAGTTGCAAAAAGAAGAAAAAGATATAGTTTAAAACAAGTAGATCTTATTGAAACTTTCTAAAACTATTTAATAGTTGCTCAAATTGTCCATTTGTGATTTTTAAAAATGGTTCTCTCGATCTATTTATCATTTTATAAGTTTAAGAGTGATGTAAAAGAGAAACACGATAGATAATTTGATAATAAAAAAAGTATAATATACCATTAGAAACTTTAATTAGA